TGGCGACTCCGCTGGCGGTGTGGGCAGGGGGGGGGGGGGGGGGGCACGGACCAAAAAAACAGTAGTAATGGTGAAGCACTAATGAGCTGTGGAAGTCAGGAAATATCCATGTCATGAGGCTTCAGTACAGTTTTGTAGGTGTGTTTTCCTGTTTGAGTGGTATTAACCTATTCAGAAAGGAAAAAATTCTTACAAAGGTTTCTTGTGCTTCAGCTAAATACATACATCTCAGACTTGCCCCTCCAACAACATCCATCCATTATTATTCTCGTGTGAACAACATCCATACTTTATAAGAGTAAATTTCACGAGTTTAAAAAACAATAGACTTTAGCATTCAGGGACACCAGATGTTTCACAGATGTGAAAAAGCACTTTGAGAATATCAAAACCAATCAATTTTGTACAAGAAAGTGTAGTAAATAGTTTAGAAAACAGAACTCATGGATCACTAGCATGCAACCAGATTCTCTTGTACAAATACAAAAAAAAGGAGAAAATAAAGAATGTATAAAACAAAAAGTTTTCATTGACCTGATTTGTCAGAGATGTTGGCTGTGACTGGCGTGGTGGAGCAGCTTGTGTTAGCCTTTGCGCTGTCCTTGGAAGAACCAACTTTGGGTTTATTTTTCGTTGCCTCTAGTGCTTTGACCTTCTTGGCATGTTTACTTCCTTTGTAGTGGGCCTCGGCCTGGCTCTACAAAGGAGAACAAATCAGGCTCACTTTTTTCTGTACTTCTGTATAACATAATGGATGACAAGGCAGAAAAGTGACACTTTCAATAGCAGGCACCATATTATTCCACCTAGAAAATTTTAGAAACTTTATACTAACAGTTTTTCTAGATGTAAGTTCCTATATATTCAAACAACAGGATTTTAATGATGGTACATGTTTTCAGTAACTCAGAACAAGAGGCTTTGAGATTACATTAAGCTCTGTCACTCCTAACGTAATTCTTTTCTTCCATGGTGCTTAAAAATTTAAAGTACTATACAAATGTAAACACATCCAACTGAGAAAGATGCTATTCAGTTTTCATGTACTGTTCCCTAGTCTTTATCGCTTGTAGTTAGAAAGATGTACCATGTTGTAACATGATTAAATAATCCATTTTTCCTTCTGTTTGATCTAGTGCAAAAGTCATAAATATTTTCATCATTACACTAACAGCAATTGAAACAGGCATTAATGACATTCTGACTTCTCTACTAGATCAACCAAGAAGGGTTAAAATGAAGAAACACCATACCTATAAACTTCAGTAGACCCAAGTAAAACACAGAAAACTAAATACTTATCAGTCTTGACTGTTTTATAAATTCCCTTGAATAATTTTTTCCAAAGACTAAGAAAATTGGAACATGAAGGACAGGAAGAAGAGGCACTTATATTATTAATTTTATTTTTTTTTTGGCTAAAGTGCTTTATATATAATGTACTCTTCTTGGTCTGCCCAAACAGAACAAATATGTACTAAGATGTAATGTTTACTTCACCTTTGTCTTAAAACTATCTTCAGAAACTAGCTCAGTGTTTATGAAGTTGCTCAGCTAAGGATAGACACATAAATAAATGCCTGTTTTTCAGTGATTTTGAGTCCCCATTATTGTTCCTGACTCTACATAACCAGCTGCCTTGACAAATCAGGCCACTTTGTTAGGTGTAAAACTAAGGAACTACATGCTTAATACAAACTCCAAAGCTTGGAAATTTCAGCTAATGAATTTAAATGTTTTTCTTGACTTCTTAAGAAATTAATTTACCTAAATGGGTAGGAGACATAATTTTATACAGAACACATTATTTTCATAACGTTATACTATTCAGCAATAGCTTTGCGTTATTAGTATTTCCAAACACAATTTTTAAAAATTATTTCAGACATACTACTCGGCGCCTCTATTGAAGGTTACATATTAACTAAAAAAGTTAATATTGTAGTTTATTTCAAAGTGAAACACTCAGAGAAAGCATGCTTCATGTAACCAGATGATCACACCTTGGCACCTGGCATATAAAAACATCAGTGCAAGTAAACTTCTACTATGTTCATGCAAAAACACATTCTGTCTCTTCAGTTGATTAGGACTATTTTATTCAGTTCACTGTGTTAAATGAAGCGAGCCATGAAACAAGTCACATGCTTTTTATAAAAAGCACCTGTAACATCTAAGACGTTTGAATTCCATAAAGAGTGCTGCCATAATGAGGAAAATCATTTTAAGATCAGCAGTAACAGGCATTATAATAAAGTCACCTTGGGACAGCATGTAGTAACAGTTTTATCATGTGGTAGAGTGTAAATGAAGAGTAGAAACAGCTGGACCAGACAAGAGAATAGACAGGGTGTTGGAGCCCTCACAAAAATTATATGCACCGTTAAAACTGATGGAGAACTACCGCTAAAATAGAGGAGTGAAGTTCTTGTACACTGAAGCTTCTTAAGTGATTATACAACTCTGTGAAACACAGTGCTTTCCACCTCAAAAGGACAGCGTATGTGACATGTTGTGGCTACATCTTTTCTTTTATAGGAGATTTCAATAAGCAAGCATTCAGTAAGAAAGGCTGCCAGATAAGTTTTACTTTGAATTCCTTTGAAATTGAGATTTTTTTTAAAAAAACCTTCACAATAAAAATAGTAAAGAGTGTACTCAACAATTGCTATTAAACTATTTCTTGATTTTTAAAACCTCTGAAATATTAATACACGTACAAACACAATTAAGGATTATGAAGAAACATCTAAACAGCTATATCACTACTACTACGTGCACTACTTAAAGGGACACTTGTCAACTTCTGGGTTGGACTTCTTCAGTTCTGAACATGGATAGAGGAGCACAGATCTGCTTGCACCTTGTTATGTTGATGGGTCTTATGCAGGCGCAGGAGTCTCACCCTGTCTCTCTCCACCCTTGCTGGGTTTTGTCCATTTGTCTTAAGCTTTGCTGTTGCTACATGAGGCACTGGAAGGAGTGTTTGCCATCAACAAAATTATTTTAAATAAACTATTCACATGTTACAGTGTATAAAAAGTGAAGTTAAAAATTGAGGTGTATATATACCCTTTCCATTCCAATACTTTTAACTTTAAATACTAGCAAGTACAAGATTTTCCACTCAAGTATTCTCAAGTTGATGATGTCCCTTTAAATATTTGAACTCTGCTCTGCGCATACGTGAGCTGTTGATAGGATCATATGCTGCCTGAGGCCAAAGCTGTAACATAAGAGACATAAGTGCACTCAAGAGAAAGACTTAGTAAGTCAATTCCTTGATAACAAGCCTTTCTGCTGATATTTGCAATAATAATGCCTGCAATATCAGTAATAACCTACTACAGTCATTGATTCCCTTCATTCAATCCTCATATAGTGTACATGAGACCTGTTGAGAACAAACAAGCCCAGGCAGAATCAAAATTAAGATTTCCATAAACACAAGCAAAGCTTCCTGGAAACCTGGTCAATGGACTCAGTTTTGATTTAAGTTTTGTAATTATTATAATCTTTTTATTATCAAATTCATAGTTTTACATTATAAGGTCAAAAGGTATTGCTATGACCATCTAAGTAGGGCTTCTGAAAACACTAGCCTTTTCCAAAACTGTTTGAACTGGTCCATATTCCTTTGTGGGAAAAATGTCCAGCTTTGATTTTAAAGTAGCTAGGGATGGAAAATCTACCTTGGGTAAATTGTTTCGGTGCTTCACTTTGTCAGTTAAGTACGTACCATTCATTTCTGCACTGCATTTGTCTAGGTTCAACTTACAGCGGCTGGATTTTGTCAAACCTTTGTTTTTTAGGCTCTTTCAACTAATTTCTGTTCTGTGAATAGAAACACAGATACTCTTTTCAAACATGAAGTTAGAGGACCATTCCTTGAGGTACTGAAGCAGTGTTTCCTAACCACGTAAGCACTATATTCTAACCCTTTCAGATATACTTGAACTTCAGAGTTTGCTTATTATCCACTGTGGGATAGATAATTTGATTCAATTGCCTTTTGGGAACTGAAATGCAGTATCAACACAGAACTGTATTCTGTGTGATCATGTTATAAAAACCATTAGAGTTTTCTGGAGTCATAGGAAGCACAAGAAAAAAAGGACAGTTGTGGAAATCTGAAATTGGAAGACAAGTTCTGATTATTACTCGTACCAATTATTCTGATTATTAATGTTCTGATCATTACTAACCCTAGTTTTAAAAGATATTTGCACAAGTACCACATTAAAGGAAAACATATTTGCTCCAAGTCCCATTTAAAACTTGTTTCTGACACAAATATAGCAATACAGTACAGGTTACATCACTGATAGGCTAAACGTATCTTTGAAATAAGCCCTGACATATAAGATTTTCATTTTTAGTTAAGACAAGAAGCTGAACATTTATTTTTATTTGCTCCGATAATCCAAGGGAAGTTCTGTAAACACAAGGTTTAAAAGTCGTATGTATAAAAGAAAGATAATTTGCCAGTTTTAATATAAAACCCCAATAAAATACACAATCAATTAAGAGTAAGTATTTTAGGGATAAAATATTTTAAATGTAAATACTGAATGTATTTTTTGATCACCATTAACTAAACTAAGTACAACTAATTCATGCAAATTCCGTATCATCAAAATAATACTTGAGAAAATAAAAAAAGTTAGGAAAAGCCAAAATAAAGATATGTAATCTTAATGAATCTCTCTGTAGTCATGTATAGGGCTGCATTTACCGTAGGGATTAATCAGTTCTACAGGAAAATAATTTATCTATGCCACAATTCAATATTATTGGAATATTTAAATTTTTATTTAAAAAAGATTTGTTAAATTTATTGCTTATGTAATAAAAATTAAATGTCACCATTGAACTTCTATTATTATTATAATTTGAAATGCTTACTAGGTAAGGAGCACATTTTTTGAAAAAAGTGGAATAAGAAAATATTTCATATGGAAAAACAGCCTACCTAAAAGAAAAACCTAATTTCCATTTGGTTCTAAAACCAACTGTGGTTTACTAGCTTGATATATACACATTGTGACATTTTAAAATGGAATCCACCTACTTATTAGAAAGTATAGAAAGTCATCAACTACTGGTTAGTAAGAGTTAATGAACAGGAAAAGCTTTAAGCTGCAATAAATGTGATGTTACATAATAGAATGCAAAAATTACCTTTGCACTGACAGACCAAATTCCACAAAAGTGTTTATGCCTTTGCCTGGCATTACTTTTTGATCAACAGGATGCATATTTTAAGACAGTAAACATATGTCTAAATCTTTAGAAGATCATGGCTTAGTGAAAAGCTGTATTTTGAATTCAGTTGCAAATAATTAAGAACATAACTGACAGACAAATAAATATACAATTTTCTCCCATAGTTTTTCAAATTTCTACAACTTAAAATGGTGGGAGGATGTCCATCCTTTCTTTAAGCAATCTAGATTTTTAGTTCCATTCATAGTCTTTAAGCAGTAATCAAAAAACCCCAACCAATTAAACCTTATGTATTTTTTTTAAGAAAGCCTTCTATGCTATAAGGATTAATGACTTGGTTATAAGAAAGGACAAGTTTTTCCTCTCTTAAAAATATATTTCACTGAGACGCACAAATGATCCAAATGTTACTTTTCATTTAAAATCTAAAGTTAATTGCTACTTTCAACTCCAAATTATTAAGTCTGAAAT